CTCTTGACTCCCTACTTTAGCATTCCAGCCCCTATAATCGCAAGAACATCTTTCTTTGGTGTCAGTTCTAGAAGATGTTGTAAGTCTCCATAGAATTGGTCAATTTCAGCTTCTTTAGCATCAGCTGTTGGTGCATAAATGTGCATTACTGTGATGTTGAAAGGTCTGCCTTATATTCGTATTGGGATCACTCTATCATTTTTGAAATTGTATCCCAGTACAGCTTTTCCCACTCTTGTTGACTATGAGGGCTACTCCATTTCTTCTCCAAGATTCTTGCCCACGGTAGTAGATATGATAATTATCTGAATTGAATTTGCCCATTCCCGTCCATTTTAGTTCACTAATGCCCAGGATGTCAATGTTTATTCTTGCCATCTCATGTTTGACCACATCCAGATTACCAAGGTTCATAGATCTTACATTCCAGGTTCCTATGCAGTATCAATGTGTCAATACTGTAATGACTGTAACGTAATATCTGATTGAATAACATCAATCACTTGGATTCTAAAAGATCTCCTATATGGAGAATTCATGCAGGGAAAGCGCCCCAGAGGGAGACCACAGCTGCGATACAAGGATATCTGCAAGTGGGATCTGTAGGCCTTAGGAATGGACCTCAACAGATGGGAAACCTTGATTGACATCTGAGCATTCCGCCGGGAGGCAGGTGTTGCATCATGGCCTCTCCTGTTTTGAAGAGACACTTGTCCAGCAGGCCGAGGCAAAGAGGCAGTCCCGAAACCAGCAAAATCAGGGAGCTGGACAAGAGACAGATTCTATTTGTCTTCACTGTGGAAGGAACTGTCACGCTCGAATTGGCCTTCTCAACCACACTAGATGCTGTTCCAAGTCCTCTATTCAGAGCACGTTACCATAGTCTCTCAAGACTAAATGATGCCTAATCCTAATCCTGGTATGTTTATATCAGGTGAGTCTTGCGGATTGAACTCCACCCCACCCCTATTAACATGTAAAAGAACACGTTATCATAGTCTCTGGAGGCTGAAGCATGCCTACACAACATCAATCAGATTCCATGGAAAACCATCATTCAAGTCTATGTTCTAATTACTGATATAATTTTTACATCACAATTGACTCTTAACTGATTTCACATATGCTGAAACAATTCAAAATAAATCAATTGCATTAGCAGTTTAAAATAAGCAATCCTCTTGCAGCCGAGTAAATTCTTCACTTTGCAACCAAAAAACCACACTTCTAGGGCAAAAAACCCAAAACCAAAACACCATGCTTCCCTGTATGTCATGTAGTTTGCACATTTAAAAAAATGATTTCAAATATGCTAAGCCTGACTTAAAAACAAGAAGGTCTTTAATGTGGAACCACACATTGTTCCGCT